GTTGTAAACTGGTTGAAACGAGCCAGCTGCTCCTGCACCATGACAAACTGTTCTCACATCAACTCGACGTCAGATAAATAACAATACATGATACAAATGTTGACTGGCAAGATAATGTTGGTAACGATTGCAAAGATATCTACATGACAATTACGTAGATAAAGTTTTCGGGATGTTTGCAGTCAGTGGATCCTAAAACTCATGCCTGTGACACATCATCACCAGTTAATTTCCACCAGTTAAACTGTCACAGTGGCAGTAAGGTTAAATGACTGCAGAGATAACAGGAGGAAACACTGAAACAGACTGATCTCTTCATTCTTTGTATACATCACTCAGTGCTGTCGTGTCAGATGTTGGCTTTATATTGACTTTGCTGTTGTTAACATTCATTTTGCTGCTCTATAAACAGCATTTAGTTGTATTTAGAATATTCAACACAAACCCTATATTGAATTAAAAAACAACCAGGCAGCCAATATGCACACTTCAATATTTTTTTATATTTATGGTAAGCGATATCATCATCTGAATATATAACTATTTTATTGCAGATTTTCCTCCCATCGTTCAGGCCTTCCTCACGCCCTTGTTCGCTTCATCTCTTATTTGTCTGTTGGTTGCTAGGATGGCTGAACACGCAAAATGGTCAAAGGCTCAGACATATTTAATTTAAAGCCAGAGATAGTGCTTGCAGTTAATATTGACAGACTAATGAAGTGTTGCAGGCTGCGGTTTTGAAGGCTGGTTTGAAGTCAGTATATCAGAGAGCAGTAATTGTGTCTCACACACACACACACACACACACACACACACACACACACACACACACAGTGTAACAATACACCAAATCCAGGTTCAGTTCAGACTTTGATTTTAGATCCACGGTTCGGTTCATGTTGCGGTCACCACCCTTTTATGTTTTGGAAAAAGGTGAAATGTGTCAAAAAAACTGCATCATGAGATGCTCTGGCCTACAAATCTTGTTCTTGAGATTTAAGAAGTCATGTTTGTTTTGTTACAGACCCCAGTTTCTTTCACATAGTGATATATTTAATAGTTTATTCAGTGATTCCCACACAAAGTGAGTTATATGGCAATATCATGTTTTTACCACTGATTTGTTCCGACTAGTGATTAGTATCATGGTCAAAAGGTATCACTGAGTGTGTTTCGGGGTATACCCTTTGGTTATATTGAGCATTTCATGTGGGATGACTCAGTTTGTGTTTTTTCCCTACACTTTCATAGAGTTCTCCATCCCAGCTGGCAGCAGAGGCATCAGAGTTTAGGTTCATAGGTTCTTCAGACTGATTAGGTTGTTAAAAAAAAAGTTCAGTTCATTGGCCTTGTCCTTGAGGAGAGATAAACCAGTGCGCAGGAGAAGATAGTAAGGCCAGCTGCAAGTCGTTAACATATAAATAACATTTATCCGGATCAGTGTCCTCCAATCGCTCTCATCCTCAGCGTCATACGTGCATCCAGTTCATGTAGTAATTTCGACATTTCTTCTAATTTCATTGCAGGCCAGTGGTTACTCTCAGCAGCTCACCAGACTGCGCCCCGATGGTGTCAATCCTCCTCTGCGCTTCCACAGACCGGTCTGAGATGTTACGAAACAGTTCACCGTACTGATCAGCCCTTTGATGTAAAACCTTCAGCTTGAGTTTATGATGAGATGGGAACTAATGTGGATGCAGACGTCTCTGAAGAAGTAGCACAGCAACCCAACGCTGGTGTGTTTACTATCAGATCTGACAAAGGTAAACCTGATTCCCATTTCTTTCACAATAGTCCATGGATTATGACTAAGACCCAGTTACACTTTAGTTGTGAAAAACCAACAAATTGTGTTTATTTCTTCGCTCTCCTCTCTCTCTCTCCTGAACTACACTTAGAGTCCAAGGGGACAACCTCTTCCAGCTCTTCCCAGTCCACCAGGCCACTGCTTGATGTCGTAACCAAGTCAGCACAGTAAGTTTCAGCTTGTGGCTCGAATGATCCTGGATGAGATTTATTGTGAGAGCCTCCTTTGCACAGTTTTTTGATTGGTAGCTATTTCTGTAGGTGTATTTACTGTAAGTTGTTCATGATTATTTTTAGTGAATACTGTCTTGTCTTCTACTCCTTTCACAGTTGGTTGAATCTGCACTGACCAAGAAGATCAAAGAATCTGGGTGAAAGGATGGATCAGCACACGCAGGTAGCAGGGATTGTCTGAGCTGCAGAGAGAGCTGGAGGTGAGTTAAAAGGTGCAGTTCCCAGACTCAACTCATGACTGTGAGGTTAAAACTCGCAGCCCAAAAAGGAGAACAACAAACACACGTGTGGACATCTTCAGCTGAGGACTGCGACTTACTTTGGCTTCAACTCAACAATCATTCATGACTTCAGTTAAATGTTGAAGTTGCTGTTACTGTTACCTTGTCTGTGGTCCGCTGGCAGAACACCGGCTTCTGTCTGGTCAGGTACCGTCGTGCAGTTGCTGAGGCGACATAAATTTTGTTTGGAGGTGGACGGACATTACAGAGTTGGTTTTTTTTCTTTAGCTTGAAATAATCCCATACTTTGCACACTTTCTTCATTGTCCCTCGCTGTTTTCTCTCTCTTCCTCCACTTTTCAAACAGCTGCATCATAATCACGTCCTGTTTACAGCGTAAGCGCGACAGTAACAAATGTCCTTGCGAAACAATGTTCTGTATAGTTACATGGATTAAACGAAGCATCGATGCAAGGGGGGGAGCACCTGCACAATAATTTCATCCATTCAGTCTTGAAGGGAGATGAAACCTGGTAATTATTGGCGATGAGATATTTTGATACAATCTGTGCACGGAGAAGAGATTTCTGAAACCGTTACACACTGCGGTTTTATAGTTTGTAAATCTTTACAGAATGAGTTGTGAACAGCTGTGTAGATATAATTCAGATGTGACTGACTGCAAGAAGAGACTAATGTGCTTTGAAATATCATTTCCTCCCCTTCCATTACAGTCCGGTGTCAAGATCCCACTTTGTCCAGCTCCGAAGCATCTTGCAAGGTGATGGACCGGCAACAGACTCTGCCCAGAGAACCACGTGGATATTGAAAGAGTATTCGAAAGAAATCACTTCATCAACGAAGATGAATTCTTTCATCCAGGATTCGACTATGATTTCACCAATTTGAAAGACACCGAGACTTATTACAGAGGAGGAGAGGTGTATCAACGCCCATGTGGATGGCAGCGTTTTGCCCTCAAGGTAAATATGCTTTTGTTTTACTTGACATTTAATCCCAGAGTTTCCGTCCAGTTTTTTGTGAAACACGACTGCAAATTTTGTTGAATGTAGAAAACGTAAAAAAGTAAAAATAAATAAAAAATAAAAAACGAGACATTGGCGCAGTAAAGGCTTCTTTCTGGCAACTCGACCGTGCAGCTCATTTTCGTTTCAAGTACCGTCGCATTGTGGTCCTTGCAACAACCACACCATCTTTTTCCAGAGCAGCCTGTATTTCTCCTGACGTTACCTGTGGGTTCTTCTTTGGATCCCGACAGTTATTTGCATGACGAGTCATATTTTCAAAATTAATGCCAAAATTAAAAAATTATGCCAGGCTATGCAAACCTATTAGCACAACTGTATGTACATATATATATTATTATTTGCCTATATTTGGGACAGGCCTTTAATTCCTTTTCCACAAAACTCCCAGAATATATAATAGCCTACTGTAAAATTATTTAACCAGAAATTTTATACCATTTCAACCAGTAGGAATATTACTTGTAGTCTATTAAAATTAGGCTATTGGATAAACATCAATTACAATTAATTTATTTTATCAACCTCTGAGAGAAAGTGCATCCAACCTCATGCAGAGACGTAGATGAAATGAATTGTTCTTTTGTATTATATTTTAATTTTATAATTTCCTTTGAAAACCACAAAAAACAAGTTGTTTTTCTGTTTTAAAACCAAAATGGAAAAATGGTAAAAACAAAACAGACATCTATTTTATTTAAAACTCATAACGGAAAACAGGGTGGCTAATTGGGTCTGGGTATCTCTGGATAATCCGTAATTCGTTTGTAATTCTAAAACAAAAATACCGTTTATCTGTTTTTTGTTTCAAAACGAAAAACGAAGTAATCGTTTTTGGTTTCAGAATCAAACAACGAAAAACCAATTCAACGAACAAAGAATGAAGAGAGTCGGTCTGGGAATTACAGAATATCCACAGATACCCGGACCACTAACATGTCCTGTTTATGTCCACACATGCCTTTAAAACACCAGAGTTGACGGTTGAACCACAGGCAGATACATTTTTTGATGATGAGGGAGCTGTCGTGGCAAAACATGTTTCCTCTAGTTAGGGTGAGATGAATAGCAATTCAATTCTCCCGGTTTTCATGCAGTTGATACGCAGATAGGAGACTTCTGCACAAACCTCATAGGGACACAGAGAGAAGTCTAATAATAATCATACTTTATCCTTAGGTTATACTTATTTGTGCATATTTTTCATTTTGTTTTGGCAGCTACAGCAAGCACATGAGTATTTTAACACACCAATTCAATAACAGAACAAAGCACACTGAAATCATGTAAGGTTTTTATTACAATGAGCTCAGGGCGAAACAGTCAACAAAGATCAAGACAAAATATACTTGAGTTACAACAGTAATTAGAGCCTAATTACAAGTGATACCCGAAGTTAAGATTGTCAACATTTTCTAAATCTTTTTATTCAGAAAGATTTTCAATAAAACCAAACTAATATCTGTTACTAATTCACAGTTTCAACATTTAACTAGAGAGACCACAAACTTCTGTGTAACTACAAAAGTGAAGGTCTAACTTTTGTAGATATTTTAAAAAGATTATTACAAGACATATTTTGTAAATATATTTATAACATTGTGATCCAAATATCTACAGAAAGTGAAAGTCTAACTTTTGTAGATATTTAAAATATATTTAACACATTATATATATTTTGTAATATATTATAACATTGTGATCCAAATATCTACAGAAAGTGAAAGTCTAACTTTTGTAGATATTTAAAATATATTTAACACATTATATATATTTTGTAATAATATATATAATAGTGATTAACCTTTAATATTTGATCAATTCAACATATACTCACTCCGCTCTGGGGACCT